CCACGTGAGGGGCTGTCCCTTGGTGCTGCCGTGACCCTCCCGTGGGGTCCCCCGCAGGTCAGGGCAGCCCCGGGGTGCTGTGCTGGGCAAGGGGGGCACGGGGTTAGTGGGCGGGCCAGCAGCCCTCGGAGCACACGTGAACCGTGAGGAATTAGGCAGCTCCTCCGCTGGCAGTGCCAGCGCGACTGCTCAGGCGCCGGGCAGCGCTCCGGGAGCGGGTCAGCCCGGTCAGATGCCGGGAGCAGGGAAGCTCCACGTATGCCCGGGATCCACTCGCATGCCCTTGGCACGGCTCCCTGTGATCCCCACCGGCTGGTCCATTTGTTTTAGGCCAGTTGGTCGGGGTGGTTTTTGTTGTTTTTTTGTTTTTTTTTTTTTTGAAAGTAGGCATTGGGCTGCAGCCTCCTAATAGCTTATGATGTTGGACATAATCCTGGGAAGTGGGGTTTTGTGCAGGGGCCAAAAGACTTTGGATGTTAGACCTACTTCCTAAAGCTCACACTATCACGAGGCAAAAAACGTTTGATGCAGCTTTGAACTTCTGGCTCTCAATCTTTGCTAAGTGCAGAGCTAGAAAAGGGTCCTTAAACTGAATTTTAATACCTCGTTTTGTGGCAAAGGGTATCTCAGTGTTTGGAATGGTTCTCCAGGGGTTTGAGCAGATGTCTGCAGGGATACATGACCAATTTAACTGAGCACTGCCTGGTGCTTGGGCAGGATTGTCTCAACATGTTTGCACGTTCCAAGTTAGGGTCAGAGCATCCTTTTCCTGGGTCAGTGTAAGTGCACAAAGATCCAGTGGCTAAGCAGGGTTGGGAAGTGAAGCCTTGAGCATCTCTGGAGTGTAACATCCCTTGTGTGTTCAGCACATCGGGTGTGCCTGGGGCAATATCTGTGGGCATCGTGTCCCGTGTCATCCACACCCCGCGGCCTCAGGGCTGGCACGTCTTGCCTGGTGCTCTGCAAGAGGGAGGAGGATTTTATTGCCTCTGTTTTTCAGATGAACACGTGCTGAGTTAGTTGTCTGCAGGGTCAGTCTGTGTGAGGAATTATTCTGTAGGGAAGGTGGATGCAGGAGGAGTTTGAAGGGTGGCATCTTGTCCCAGCCTTTCTAGAACGTGTGTGGTACTGGTTATATGGTAAATTCAGGATCTGCCCCGTTCCTTAGCACTGTCCTTCCTGCAGACTCACCCAGAGTGACGATTTTTCCATGGATCAGACAATCAGCTGGTGAAGCCCAGTGCTCCTTTAGTCCCACCTGCTTCTGATAACTTCATTGCCTCAGTGTACCACTTACTGTGGTGTTGCTTCAAATGTCTAAGCAATTAAATATTATCAGTTATTCTCCCTCGAAGGCCCCAGTTTTATTTTGACTTTGTACTGCTTTGTCAGTAAAAGGACACTGCTCTGTTAAATCTCTTTGTAAAACACATTTTGTGCACACTTATTGTTTCCTTGCCAGTAGTAATATTGAAAGGCTGCTTTATTACTTGAAATCTATCAAAAAATTCTGTTATTAGTGAAATATTTGGAAGATAGCAAGAGTGAGCCTCAGCATTGTGGTTAAAAGGACTTTGCAAAAAATTTAACTTTAGTGAGCGAGCAACATTTACTTGTACAAGTGAGTGCTGTGCTGCTAAACCACAGGGTGCCAGTCAATATTTATTACTCTTTGAGATGTTCACTTGCACAGAATTTTTTCCAAAGTGCTGTTGCAGCATTTCACTGCACTTTACCCAGATAGATCCAAACAATGGAATATTTAAAATTAGGGTGCATTGCGATACCAGACTTAATCATTAAGTACCATCGAGGAACAGATGGCAGGAGGGGACACAACTGGTTTGCAGTCTGCACAGATTTAAGCATGAGGCCATTAAGCTATCACATTCCCATTTCTGATAGATTTTGGTCAATGAAAAATGAAAGGCACATAATCCCTGATTATTTGGAGTCTCAATCCACGATCCATGACACTGGTAGTATTTCCAAATCACCCAGGTTCCCCCTGCAATGAGGAGTTTTTAAACTAATGCATCATTGGGAGGGGATGCTCCTGTCTGCTTTTGCTACCACTGAAATTAATGTCTCTTGTCAGAAGTAGGTTGCTCTTAAATGTAAAATTGCTGAAGGGGATCTTTCACCGCTCTGCTTCCTATCGACTTGTGCACAGATTTGCCCTATTTTGCTGGGCTGTTTGCCACTGAAGCAGTTTAGCATCTCCACCTCAGAAAAAGGAGCAGATCATGGCCTTAAAATTGGTTATAGTAGCCACCAGAATCTCAACTTTAAAACCAGCTTTTTAAAACCATATCTCTTACAAAGGCCTGTTTTGGAACCAGTTTATACTCCAAAATGGTTTCATTTGCCTCCTGTATTCCAGACAGCATGTACCAGTTTATTTCAGTGCTATTGGACCAAATGTATTCTAATAAAGAGAGCTGTTTAGCATTAAAAAAAATGTAATTATTATAAGCATTTTATTGGTCATAGAAATTAAACAATTCAATATACGAATAGAAGTAATCTATTAAAATCTTCAATGAATTTTCGAAAAATGTAAACTAGTTTATAGCTGTTCTTTTAAGCCATACAGGTTTGGGCAGTTTTATGTTTAGATTTTTTTATCTTTGTGCATGAAAAATATTTGCACCTCGTGTTTCATTAGTTATTTCGAATGCATGGTCAGAAAATCAGTCTGTCCTGGCTTGGACCAGTCTGGCAAAGTACAATTCTACAAAGAATATAGGATGGAAAATGTGGAGCCAACATCTTGCTGTGATATTTCCTCTTGAGAGGGACAGACTAAGACATCTTAGTCATGGCTAACATGTTAATTGAGAGTGTCAAAGACAACTCACATCCCTTGCTTGAGGAGTAATGAGACAATACAAACCTCTCGAACAAAAACGACCAAGAAATCTGCTACCTGTAGTGAGCTATTGAGGGTAGTGTTTAATTAAATTAGAAATGATTGGTGGAGATTAGCAGTGTTACTGGTATCCAAGCACCTTGGTTTTGTTGATCCTCAAAAGCAGGGGGTTCAACTTCTTGTCACCGTTTCCTGTTTTAAAGTTCTGCTGAAAAATGTGAAGGAAATTCAGAGTTTGGGGGGTTCTGTTGGACCCGTCGCTGTAATGTTTTGGAAAAAAATTAAAATTATTAAAATAAATTAAAACCTGTGCTCCAGGTTGTCCCAAGAGTGATCATCTGCCCTAGCATGACATTCTGATTTTAATTGTTGATCATCTGCCCTAGCAGAGCATCTTATAACTGGACTCTGAGTTTGGTCAAGATGCAGTTCCAGAGCACATCAGTGGCCCAAGTTTTCCCAGCAAAAAATTCACAATCTCAGTAAACAGTTTCCTGCAATTCATGCCAAAAAAAAAAGGATTTAAGAAAAAGAAAAAGTTGAATGCCTTCTGCCTAGGCCAGTCTAACTATTCCAGCAGAGCTTCTGAAATGGGAAAATGCAAAGCCTGGGCTTTGGTGACATTTGTGTTCTGAATTCCTGTGGTTGCACGCTGAGTTTTGTGTTGGTGCCCGAAATGAGAGCTGTGACAATATCCAGGAAGGTCCAGTGCCCTGTGCTTTGAGTGCTCTGCAGGGAGAGTCCTCTCCAACGTGGGGCTGCAGAAATGCCGCCGCCGAAGATGATGAAAAAGCCCCGAGATAATCCCGTAGTCATTAAGATTAAACATGAAGATTAAGGGCCCCAAATCGGCCTTTTGGAGATATGAATGTAGAAATAGGAGACTTCAGCTGATCTCTGTAGGTCAGCAGGGTTTATCGTGGATTTTCTCTTTGATTTTAACAAATTTGAATGAATTCAGCGTGGAAAGGAGTTCAGTTCTGTGCATCTGCAAAGAGGAGTTATTTTTAGCCCCTTCAGTTCCTCCTGCAGCCACAGGTTGGCTGAACTAATAAATCCAAGGTGACACCTCAGTCACACAGTTTGGGCTGATGTATTATTCTCAGATGTACTTTTAATTGTTTATAGTATTTTTAGGATCGTGGTGATGAGCATTTGGGAATGAGGCAATTACCCATGTCCTAATTTTCCTAGATTTATGTTCACATATACAAAAAAAGGGTGCTGTGCTTACTGCTTTTATTTCATAAATGGCTGTGTGTTGGTGGTGCATTTTATATACGACCCAACTTCCTTTCCCAGCACCGTTTTTCCTCTTATTTCTATATGTCCTTATGAGCCAGGAAATGCTGAGAGCAGTAAACTGAAGGAAAGACATCAATATATATCCTTTAAAAATTCTGGTGTGCTGGGAGTTGAGCAAGCTGTGAAAGGCAAATACAAAGTTTTGCCAGGGAGAGGTTGGTGCTTTCTGCTTGGAGCTCAGCAGCCCAGCCAGCTGCTCATTTAGCTGATAATAATGTCATTAAACTGCACAATAATGCCATTAAACAGCACAAGTTGTGTTGTGCAACTGCATCGAGTGTCTCTGTAAAAGGAACTTCACTTTGGCCATCCCTCAGGGATTGTTTAAAGCTTCAGGAGGGTGATGAGGGGTGCTTTGATTCTGTGTTGTTTGCCATGGAAAATCCCAAGGAAAGGTTGTCACAGTGTCCTGTGTGTGTTAATAACTCGCTGTGTCCTGAGGTATTGAAAAAGGGTGACTCATCTGCATTTCCTCAGGTCCTTTCTGCTTTGGGAAGGAAGGAGAGATTGATTTCCTCTCTGAAGCCAGAGAAAACTCTGGTGGTATGTGATAACACATGACAACATACCAGTCAATAACCCCTTTGTTGACAGGTCTCAATCATCTGTAAATATATTTAAAATAATTTAATATGTGTTAGCATGATGTATTTCATTTTGTGTTCTAAAAGCCAAAAATTATGTTGCTTCTTGTGCCTCATGATGGCAAAACAGCATTTTATAAGGTACACATAAAGTGTACCTTTAGCTTTATGGAGAGAGTTTCGAGATTCATGTTCAGTGTGTTCAGTTTATTCTCTTTTGTCCCTGTTTTCTCTTGCAGCAATCCAAAGTCTGCCAATCAGAGGATAAACAAAAAAGTCAACAATGATGCCTCGTTAAGGATTCAGAATTTGTCTATTTTGGTGAAACAAATCAAAACTTACTATCAGGTCAGTAATTGTTTCTTGTGTTGTGCTTTGCCTGGAATTATTGCTAAGTGTTCTTTTATAACCATGTCTTTGAATGTAAGAAAAATAAGATGAATATTTCGAGATACTTGTAGGAATGGTTGTTTATATATCTGGTCAAATGTTTTATCGTGTTTGATTTACAGCTGTAGTGGAAACACTTGTATGTGAATGATGATCTGTTAATGTAACAGATACTCTGTGTATTAAATTACTCCTGTAGTACAGTAAATACTGCTGGTTGATATTTGTGAGCTGCAGCAAGTTTTGTGCCTGTGAGGGAGATGATTACACGTGCATTTAACGTTACCAGCGGAGTTTCTGTAAGAAAAACGGGACAAAACACATTGGGTTTAGAATTAATTTGATTTTCAGCAGGACAAAACCTTTGCTCTGCCTCTCCCTGTGCATCCTGGCCTGGCCTGTGCTGATGTCTGTGCTCCTGCTGTGTACACATGGAGCGTGTGCTTTCCCAAACTGCCGAGTGCAGTGAGAATTCCCAGCTGTCGCTGCCGGGACGGGCCAGCGGACGTTATTCCAGCGCTTCCCGTCGTTCTGTCCTTGGCAGCCCCTGCACGTGGGTTTATGTGCTGCCTGCTATGACCCATATGCTTTTCCTTTTCCTAATGGAAGTGGTTTTCCACCAGGCATTAGTGCTCCACAACTGGTGCAGCAGAAGGCACAGGCACTGACGGGATTGATCTTTATTGGAATACAAAGCATTCCCTGTGCTCCACTGGCCTCGTGGTATCAGCCAGTCCCAGTGCTCCAGGACCAGGCAGAATTCCTGGCAGTTAGGTGAATGTTCAGGATTGGGAATGTTGCTCCAAACCTTTGTGAGAGAAAGAATTTATTATATCTTTTTTTTAAAGTTAAAAAAGCATTTTTATTGAAGAAATATTAAAACCACACCTTTGAAGATCGAACAACACTTTTAACTGTTTTACACTTTTTTCCCTCCTTTTCCCTCCTAAGTTTCTTGGACTTGTGAGGTGCCTCATGTGAGGGAACATGGAAACACTGCACAGCTTGTGTTTTAGCAGGAATAAGGATTTGTTTTGGGGATAAAGGGTGGGCTGGAGCCTTTGCTCCCCCTCCAGCTCAGAGCAGAGCCGGGCCTGTGTGGGAGAGGCAGCTCAGCAAACTCCAAGGAAGGGTCAGTTGAGTTCCTGTCACCTGTGAAATCCCCCCAGGCAGGAAATCCTGGGCTTGATGGATGCCCTGGAATCGAACTGAGAGGCCTCCCATAGCCTGGAGTGGGAGCTCTCACACCTGAGTGCTCCCAGTGTTCCCTGTGTCCACCTGAGATCCAAGAGCAGTGAACATGGAAAGCAGTGGCTGTGCTGAGATCTGCTATTTCTCCCTGCCTGGAATATTACAGCAGGAATCAGACATGGACATGGGGATTTTTAATTTTTAGCATTATGTTAACCTAACTCTTAAAGCTTCTTATTGTGAGCTTGTCTGTCTGAGTTTATTCCATGTGATTTTATAACATCTGTGGAAAATGCCCTCTCATTTTAGCAAACAATTGCATCAGTTTGTGCTTGTCAAAAAAAGCTGCTCTGGGAGGACATAACATGCACAGTTAAAATGGTATGTGTAAAGCTTTAGGAAAGGAAATACTCCTGAGCTCTAAAAGTTTGTACAAGCAAGGCAGAATTTTGTAAATGGGCTGAATTGATTTTTGCAGGTTAAACAAGAGTTAAAAAATCTGTGAGTTTTTTTCTAGAAGTTTTTTCTAGCCAGTTCAGGAGGACAGACAGGTTGGGAGCAGGGCTGGAGTTAATGCAGGGTGACAGAGGAGGTGGCACACACCTCTGGAGCGAGGCAGAGGTGTTGTAAGGAAACAGCTGATAGTGTCATTTTTTGGTTGGTGTTGTAAGGAAACAGGTGATAGTGTCATTTTTTGGTTACTGCTGCTCACACCCTGCCTCATGGTATGGTGTGATCAGCTTTATGACAGCAGCATGGAATTATTGGAGCTGTTATCAAAAAAGAAAAACCAACAAAAAAGCCACCAAGCCCCCAGTTTGTAGCAATATTTGGTTTTCTTTCATGGTAGCTATGGATATTTGTTGAATTCCTTGTGTTTTATCTGTTCTGTATAGATTTAAAACATCCTGTGGTGCCCTTCATATCTTCATTTCTTTGAAAATTGTCTTTATCAAGTGGATACTACAGCTTGGTTGAAATTCATGATCTTTGAGTAGGTCAAAGCTGCTTTCTCCCTCCTCATGATTTGTCTCAGGCATGTGCTGTGAAAGCACATACTTTTCAGTCTAGTATTAATCCATTCAGATATAACTTTTTATGTCCTGTATTAACTGGTGGGAACTTACAAGTACAGCTATAACTAATAATTTCTACAGGTGTTTTTGAAGGAATATTGGGCTTTTCTTAGGTTAGGTTTTTAGGTTGGAGTGTGACACCTCCATGTACCTTTCTTTGGCTGTTCTGGAACACATTGCCTTGGAGCAGGAACATTTTCTGTATTAATGACTCTGTCACTGTGGAAAAACAAAAAGCCTGGCTCCCGAGCTGCTGCTGGGATGGCATCTGCTGGGAATAAACATCTGGGAATAGGAGAAAGACTACTCTGCTTCAGGAGAATTAGGCTCTGTCTAGACTGAGGATTTGACCCGATTACAGCCGGTCCTGGCCAGGGCACCTCTCCATTGCTGGAATGTGGGGGACAGACAGGCAGAGCTGGTGGCTGCCACTTCCATCCAGTTCCATGGCATTGTGCAGGCAGGGGGTTGTGCCTTTATACTCACAGCTGCCCCAGTGTCACTGCACCAAAGCCCCCCGGGGATTTTCACATCCACCTTTTGGGGAAGCCAAAGAGAGTCATGGAGAAGAGAGGAAATTGATATTTTGCACCATAAATGCAGCTTAGAGCCAAGAAAATAAACATTTGTCGATAACTTACCTGGAGAAACACAAACATAATAATTTAAAGGGGTTTTGCTGCATTCTCACTGAGGATCTAGTGGGCTTAAGATCCATAAGCCAGCTCATTGCCACGAGAGGATTTTGCTGTGTGGAGATGACCGTGCAAACCAGTAAAACAGGGCCTTTGTAGCACTAACTCATAGCCTGTAAGTTTGTTTTTTTTTTAATTAGAGTCCAGATAATTAAGTGTTTAACATCTATGCATTAAGACCTGAAAAAATTCAAACTATTTATGTAACACTAGTGGTTGTTGGTATTTGATGTTTGCTTTCCTTCAATGCATGTGGTGTAAATGACATTGTAATTAACTTTTACAGGAGAACTTGCAGCAGCTCATCATGATGTCTTTGCCAAACGTGTTAATAATTGGCAAAAATCCCTTTTCTGGTAAGTTTCTTTTTGACTAAGATAAAAATGTGCACTGCTGTGATAATTTGTGTGAGTTCACTGGAAATAAAATTCATATAGGATCGAGCCTTTCGACAGAAAATTGTGTGAGTGCTTTGGCAAGTAAGTGGGTTAATAATGATTAGGAATGGTTTAATGATTTAATAATGGTTTTCTTTGTTCACACAAGGGGTCCACACTATGCAGAAATGTGATTTGTCCCTCTCTCAGGATTTATATTGGACCAGAGTTCATTTCCCAGCAACCAGTGAGCCACTGATAGCACAGAGTTTAAGTTTCCTGTACTCCCAGCTACTGCACTTCCAACTTCCTTCACCTGTGTCACCGCTGAGGAAATTCAGTGCATCTCACTTGATCCAGCTCCTAATCCCTGTTTTTCCTTCCCCCAGATCCTCTGCTTCTCTTGCATCCTTACCTGACAGTTATTGCTCTGACCTTCTTGCTTTCTCCCCCGAACTGACACTGTCTTCTCCATGCTCCCACCTTCTCTGCTTCCAGCTCTGAGAGTTGCAATTTTGAGCCCAGGACACTTAGCCTGTGTGGAGCCAGCTGACTGTCCACAGCCTCCTGGGAATCTCTGCACCATGCTCTCAATTCCAGAAGCACGGAGCAGACACACCTGGCCTGCATGGAGCCACTCTGGATGGGGCAGAGTTTATTTACTTGGGTCTAATGTGTCCCAGGTTCTCCTGATGTTCTGACACCTCAGCAGAGAGGTTAGGAACTCCTCTAACAGGCTGTGCAGCTTCCCCTGGCTTGTTTTATTTATTTGGGATGTCTCCTATCCATGCTTCCGTGTCTGTGACACCAGGGCTTTCTCATGAGCCAGAAGAACCATCTGTGTTTCCTCACTTTGCAATCCCAAGGTTCATAACCTTGGTATTTTCCATATCCCATCTGCACACATCCCATTTATGTAGATATCTTGCTTTTTAATTCTTTTTTACCTGCTGCTTTTGGATATTGCTGCTTTTGCTGCTGAGGTCACAGCCTTTTGAGTTTCTCTGTGTGTAGCTGCTGTCATATGCACAAGAAGTGGTGTCAATGTGGTCTCTTCTTTTCCAAGACAATGGAATGCACCATGCTTTCCTATTTCGATTCCAGACTTTCTTAAGGTTTTCGAAAGACTCCGTGGATTTAATGGAAAAAACAGATTCGAAAAAAAACCCCGGTCATTGAGTTTTTTAGTGATGTTTATTGTTCTCTTCGAGATACTGAGACAAAGTGTCTTGGTATTGTGTAGTATAAGATGAAATTTTATTAAAACCCCACAGAGATAAGACTGTATTTAGTTGTACACATAAAAAATCTATGCCTTGTCATTAATAAGGAGGTGTCTTTGTGTTTTGGGATCTCAGCCAAATCTGTGCAGCTTCTGTGGTTTGGCAGCTGGTGTGTGCATTGCTCTCCTGTGGGTTTGGGAGAAAATCAGGACTTCCCTGTAGCACAGCCCTCGTATTAAGAAAGAATTGTTATGTTTGGGCAACATTCTTGCAGGTGTTTCACATTCCTGCCCGAGTCCCTCATGGAGCTGGGTCTGAATCCAGAGATAGGCCTGTTCCTTTGGGGTCCCTCCTGAACCTTTTCCCCTTTGGAAGTCAGGCCTTGCTGTGTCAGCTTGAGAAGGATCTCGTTCCAAAATGGATTTTTAAGCTTTATTTGGTGTGCAAGTGCAGGGCTGTTAAACCCTTGGAGAGGCCTGCAGTGTAAATCTGATTGCCCCAAGGCAAGGCCTCACAGCAAAAGTCAAGGCTCTGATAATCACACGGATTTGCTCCACTAAAGCTTGGGCTGGAGCTGGGATTTTTCACAGGAATGTCTCCTGGTTTTTCCCCTTAAGGAATGATCAGTAGAGAAATAGCAGAAGATCGGGAATTGCAGGAGCAGATGAGATTTAAGGAAGAGAAACGTGTCTGGCTCCATGGGAGGCAGTTGGCTCAGCCAGGAAAATGCAGGTGGAATGCTGGGTTTGAGCTCTGACAAAACAGGTCATCAGGGACTTTATCAGGAAACATCTCAGCTGAGCTAATTGGCAGGAAGCCAGTTGGAGGAGAAAACTGGAGGAGAGGAGCTGCAGCCTGGAAATGGGAAATTAAATTACAGGGGGAAAGGGGAAAGGAGATAATGACAAGGAAAAAGGCCTTTAACAGGGGAAAGGGGAGATTAAAGCAAGGCCCTGTTTCTGAGAGAGCCATCCAGGAGAGGAGGGAAAGTCAGAGATGAGAGGGAGTATGAAAGTCAGGGATAAGAGTGAGCACAGGGAAGATTAAAGGGGAGCACAGGGTAGGGACAAAGTTCAAGCAGCGAGTTGGAGGGTGTAGAAGAGAATAATTATTTCTGTGTTTGTGGTGGAGGGAAAGGAAGCAAAACGTACAGGATGTTTGGCAGCAGAGGGAAGCTGAGGTTGGTCAGTATTTTGCAGTGTTCCATCAGGGAATGGGGGACAAAGACAAGGCAGCAACATTCAGGTGGGTGTTTAAAAGCCAGGAGATGGGGAGTGAAGAGGAGTTCAGGGCTTGCTTAAAAAATAAAAAAGTGTGATTAATTTATTGGGATAAAAGAATGTAGGATGTGAGCTGTTGGGATGGATTCCTCCTGTTCCAGTATTCCAGTTAACCCTCATTGAGACAGGCAGCCAGGTGGAATTCCCCTTCTTCAGCCAAAGTGGCTTCTGGTAAAACACACTCATTGATGTTTTTTCTGGTTCTACCTAAAAGGCTTCCCAGCTCGAGACTTTGGGATGCAGGAAGTGTATAAATGATAAAAAAATCTCCCATTTGAGTTCATGTTCTTCGTAACTTCCCTTGAAAAAAACCTAACATTCCATGTTCATTGGGATTATCCCCATAATTTAGCTCCCTCTGAAAGAAGTGGGCTGAGTCAATGCCTGAGCTATTTTGCCCTCCTCGAAGGCTTTGCTTCATGGCATTTATATTCTAGATATAGATTGTTATTTCTATATTTAGTAGCAAGACGGGGACATTCTGAATGTGAAAAGTAAGAAACGTTTTTTACTAATCTGTAAACAGAGTTCTTTCACTTAAGCTTCTTTAGGAGATTAAGATGCTTAAGGCCAGATTTGGAAATACATTTTGATTTTTTTTGATGTGCAGATGAATATCTAATGCAGCTTTGGGGAAGAATTTAAGTGAACTTGTCACCTAACTCTGCCAGCTCGGGGGTGGCAGGGAATTTAAACACTGGTGGAACTTCTCTGGAGGTGCCTGAGGTGACCACTGAAAACTTGATTGTAGGTCTCCAGAGTGCTCCTAAAAACGTCCCTCTGAAGTTTTGCTGTTCCAAGGGCTGAATTTATGGGGTTTTTTGTCCACTTCAAATTATTCTATTATGGATGTTGGGTTTTTAACTCAGAAAATTGGCAGTGAAATGGCAAAAAGCACTAAGCTGAAGGGTGGAAGGATGGGGCTTTCCTCCTCTGTTTTCTAAACAAGGTTAACATAAATTAGTGGAAATAGTGAGAAAACCTGATGTTTTCTGAGGGGTAGGGGAAGAAGCCCAAATTACCTTTTTACACCTACCATTTCTTCTTCTTGTCTTCTCCTTAGAGCCAGGTACTGAAGAAGTAAAAAAGCTCCTCCTGCTTTTACTTGGTTGTGCAGTTCAGGTGGGTTTAATTATGTTTATGTCTGTATGGAATTGTTTTAACTGCTCCTCATCTCTTTTCTTAATATTTTAATACCTGAGGTGGTGTAAAACTTAGTCCTCCCTTCCTCCAGTGCTACTAAAATCTGAATATCCTGACAGTTAAAATATAACCCTACACCTCTTAGTGCACAAAACATGGAATTTCTGATAGTTTATTCATTTCAATAGTGTTCATTTACCTGATGCTGTAAAGAAAGGAAGAAAATAGTAAACTACTGAAGAATTATCTTGCTGATACATCTTACTGCATCTGTTTCATGTATTTAATAAATACACTGTCATAAAATTTGAATAAGGAGCTATTTTAAGAAAACTCTTCCTTACCCTATTTCGACCTGTTTTTTCTTTATCATTAAATTAGTGTTGAAGAGCTATAATTACTGTACCATGATATAAACCAAGGGTTTTATTGGTCAGCAGAACGACTGAGTAATAATTTAGTCATGTGAACATTGCAATGGCAGCTTTATAAGTTGTAAATCTTAGAAATATAAAAGAGGACTGAAAATACTTGTATAAAATAGGTGTCTTTATTTTCAGTGTCAGAAAAAAGAAGAATTTATCGAAAGAATCCAAGGCCTGGATTTTGACACCAGAGCAGCTGTTGCAGCCCATATTCAGGAGGTATATTGGGGGTTTTGTTTGTGCTTTTAATTTATTTTTTTTGAGGTGTAATGCTGTGCTGTAGGAAGATGAACTGCATTTGTTCAAAAGCAGGTCAATCAAACGTGTGATTTGCCTATCCAGAGGTTTCTTTAAGCAGCAAAAAGTCTTTGTTTTTTCACTTGATTCACAAAAAGATTTCGTGACGGAGCATTTTTGGGTTACACTGTTAAAGCAGTACCAGGAAACAAGTCTGTTGCTTCAAGGCATTCTTAAGAGTTACAGCAAATTAAGTTTAGTGACGTTTTCATATGCAGATTTATTTATAAAATATAATCCCAGTCCCAGGTTTGTGATGTCTAATATGTCATTGTCATGGTCTAATATGTCTGGCTTTTTGTTTTGCCAAAGGTACAAGGGGCTGCTCTCAGGTAGACAAAAAGTCTTCCATTACATACAATTTAATCTATTAAATGAATATATTAATATTTTCCTACCTTATCCAGAGGATTTAACCCACAGGGTTGCAGCTTTATTTTCTTTGTGCTGCCTTTCTACTCTGACAAGTCCTAGAGGATGTTTTTTCTCTCTCCTTCTGTCCCGTGTAGGTAACTCACAACCAGGAGAACGTGTTTGATCTGCAGTGGATGGATGTCATTGTGCTGACACAGGAGTATGTTGAACCTCTCTTGAAAAACATGGCACTGCATTTGAAAAGACTTATAGATGAGAGAGATGAGCACTCAGAGGTACGGATTTGGGTTGGGAAGGGAAATACCAGGCCAGGATTATCATGAGGCTGTGTGAGAGTGAAGAACCAGAAATGTGTTTAATAACCATTACAAGTTCAGAACCATCTCGGTGGTGCCAGGTTTGCCCCTCAGTGGAGTGTGGCTCTGTCAGTGTTGCAGTTATTCCAAATATTCCTTGGATGGGCAGCAACTGCTTTTCCTGCTCACAGGCTGGATAGGAGTCAAACAGAGGGTAGAGGATGTGTGGTGATGCTTTTTTGCAAAGCAAAGGAAAAGCGGCTTTAAAATACAAGAGATCTTTGTGTTTGGATAACACCCTTACTTATCTGAGGAAATAGGGATATTCCTGTGGGTCTGTTGCTTCCCTCAGCTGGCAGGGATGCTGCTGCTCACCAGAGAACATTGTTAGAGACACACATTTATCCTCATGTCCCAGGAATTCTTGCCTTTCACTACCCAGTCCATTCTGAGCACTGAGAATGTTGTGCACTTAAAAGTCTAAATTTCCAGTTAAAAATAAAGGAGCCCAACACTCCTGTTAAACACCTGTGGCTCTTTGCTTTGTGGGTGTAGGGGCACAAGCAGGGCTTCAAACTTCCTTAGGGGTGTGCTGGTTTAAAGGTAAACCAACAGGGAAATGAACTCAACTCAAAGGAGAGATTATAAGTCAGAATAACAATAAAATAATACAATAAGTACGACTATACAGACAAACAAATGGTTTTAACCCACAAAACCCAAATGTATAACCCAGCACCCTGGGGCATGAACAGAGTGGTGTTCCTTGGGCTCCCTGAGTCCAAAGGAAAAGGAGAGGGGAAAACCTGTTGGTGAGAGTGCTGGTGCAGTCTGTTTGAAAAGTGGTGGTCTCAGTCTGGTTGAGAGTGGTGGTCTCAGTCTTCCTCTGGATCCCACAAGTGGTTAAAAAAGTCCCAAGACCCCAGGATTATCTATCCTCCAGTTGAGGCAGGAATGCCCAGTGCCTCCCTCAGGGCGGGGAGTTCCACACTGGGTGTGAGCACAGGAGCATCCTCCTGTCTCATGGGCCTCCAGTTTATAGCCTGAGGAGTCAGGGCTGCTCTGGGCAGAGGGTGTAAATGGTCTATTGAGAACAGTTTCTGGGCAATGGCATGGAAGGCTGTAGAATACCCAGTTTTGGGTTACACCCATCCAGTGATGAACTGGTCCCAGCTGTTCGAACTAGGACAAGGGGTCGAAACCTTTCCGCTATTCCTGCATCGCTCCAGCCTTTGGTTTGTTAAAGGTGCAGGTTGGTGGCTGTCTGAGGGCAGTGGTGTATTTTTCCTCCCTCTCCTTGTTTTCCCCCGTGCCAGACCATCATCGAGCTGTCGGAGGAGCGGGACTGTCTCCGTTTCCTACCTCACGCGTCGGCGGCGCAGTCCCCGTGCGGCTCCCCCGGCATGAAGCGCACGGAGAGCCGGCAGCACCTCTCCGTGGAGCTGGCAGACGCTAAAGCCAAGATCAGGAGGCTCAGGCAGGAGCTGTGAGTAGCTGTGTTCAGTTGAAAACATTCATTTTGGCACACTGGGAGTGGTCTTCGGGCAAATCCTTCGTCCTTTCAAACGTTGGTTGACGTGGGTTTTTTGGAAGCGCATTTTTATAATTGGAAGGGGTTTGTGGAGCCAGGTGACAAACACAGCTTTTCACCTGTGCCTGTCTGGGTTTGTATTCTGGATCATATGGATGTTTTAGCCATGAACACGCTGAACTCGGTGCCAGTTCTGTGTCTTCAGTGCTCAGAGCACCCTGAAGAACTGGCTGTGTTTGAGCAGTGTCTGGAGTGTGTTACAGCACAGTAACAGGCTCTTTGCTCCACAGAACTTGTCTCTTGGAAGTACTCACAGCTAATTTAATGCAGCCCTTTTGCTCTTACATATTTTGTAAATATTGTTGTTTCAGAGGCACGCTCTCTGTGCTTGCTCTGTTGTTCATTATCGTTAATGAGTGTCTGACTGCAGTTTTAGTACTTGTGTGTTCAGCTGTGTTCCTGAGAGAATATCTCTGCAGTTGAGGCAGCTCTGGGGTGACACACTCAACAACAATTACATGGGGCAGGCAGGTGGGGACTGGAAGCAAGAGCTGTGTGCTGACCATTCAGGGATCAGTGATAAAAATATCCTTTTTAAAAGGAGGTAGTTCAGGAGTGGTTCCTGCTCAGCAGCAGGTTCCTTCTCAGTGACCTGCTTCGTGTTGGAAGCACACCTGTGGTTCATTCATGCTTCATGAAGTGTTTAAATTTGTTGCAGACAGGACAAAAATCTCCACTAGAATAATTTCCTGTCCCTCGTCTCTTAATCTCTTTCTGTGTAAAAGGTTTCTTGTCTGCACAGACACTTGTTTTCTCCTGCAAGCTACTCCTGATCCAGCAGGTATCAGTGGGTGCTTTGTCTTTAAGTCTAGGAACAAATCTGAGCAGAGTGAAGGGTGATTTGAAGTGAAGAATGATAATGGACCTGTGGAGAATCTGTTGTTTTAGCAGAGTGAAGTGTGTGTCCTGAACTAAGAACACAGATGTTAAACCTGAAGAGGTTCAGCATGTACAGTAACTTGCTATAGTGTAGAAACAGCTTTAAATAAAGATTATTTTTTTAAATTCAGCAGAGAGAGGAGACAGGTGAATGAATTAAATTACCAGCTGAAGGTGCACGAGTCCCAGTTGCCAGTTTGCTGCCCTGCTGGTGTCAGTTTGTTGATCAGATCATTTCTAGCTGGCTGCATTAAGTATCTCGTTGATTGACTCCCAGGATCCCCTTCCCCCACCACACCGTGGCCTTCCCGAGGAACAGAGGACAAAAGAGGGGGCTCTTTTTCCCTGATGTCTGTATCATTGTGTGGCTGCTGCAATGAGCCCGCCCAGGATATTCTATAAACAGCTGCACCAGGAAAATTAGTGAAAAAATTGCTGTTATTAGTTTGATTGACAGTTAATAGATAGCCTAAACAGTGAACACTGGCGTGTTCTGTATAATTTAGTCCAATCCTCTCCAGCGTGGAGCTGAAGGATGCAATTAGGGCAGCACTGATGGCTCAGAACAGTTCACATTTTACACTCTTCAGTCCATAAATAAATTTCCTTTGGGTGCAGCACTATCTGTAAAACACCAGACTTGGCTACATTAACTTCTGGCTGCAGCATTCACTGTTAAAATGCTGCATCTATTTGATTTAATTTGAAATTACGTGAATTCCACAGTTGAAAATATTCAGCTGAACGTTTATTCCTAATCTGGCTTTGGCACTGGGCCTTCGTACCTGGTTTAACAGGCACCGGAGCCGCTGTCATTTCATATTAAAAGGTCCATAAAGGTTGTTTTTCACTCGGATGCAAAGCAGGGATTGGAGGCTTGGAGTTACAGAAACCTTGGAGCTGGAAGTTGCACCCCTGGTTTGCTGTGTGGAACAACAACAGGAGTGTGAATGGTCATGGAAAAGTGACAGAAATGCAGGATCCGTTGTGTCTGTGGGCAGGGATGCTGCACTGAGCTGCCTCTCCTGTGTTTGTAGGCTCTCAGTGACCTTTTCCAAACAATGTCTGCTTGCAAAAACATCATTCATGGTGAAATTGGCTCATTTTTGAGAACAACTGCTCTGGTTTAGTTTAAAACAGGTCTGGTTTTTTATTAGTATGGTTTTGCTTTCAGATTGTATTATGCATTTCAGTCCATTCAATTCTCTTATTTCCCCCTTATCCATTCATTCCAAAATGTGAAATAACACAGTAACACCTCTCAATGGGCAATATATCTTTTAAGATCATACAATACTGGATGGGGCAGGTCTTTTCAGCAGCAAATTCTGTTTGTTCTGAGGTGCAGTTGAATATTGAACATCAGGTATTGTGTGTCTTTGAGACAGTTAATTATTTCCTTTGCACTTATTGATTGTTTAACAAACTCATTTTTGAAGGATTGAGAAGTAAGTGTTAGTTGGAATTTAAGGAGGAGTCCTGTCAGAATTGATCACAAATTTGAGTACACTAAGAATTTTGTTTCCATAAAACTAAAATTCATTATGTGTTTCATGACATTATTAAGGTTCTTAAGCAGAATCTTATTCAGTTGAGTAGAGGCACCTGAAAACCTTATTTCTCCTCTGTAAGGAAAAGAAAAATTATAGAACAGAAGTATAGAAGTGCTTTTAAAATTGGTTTTGCCTGATCTGTGGCAGGATGCATCGGTGGCCATTGGAAAATATTTAGAGCTTTCCAGTGTATATTCTGAAATAATTCTGAGTTTCCTTTTGGGTGTGAATCTCCTGGTACATATTCATGTGTATTCTCTTATTGCACCCTGTTTTCTGCCCTGCACAAGTAGGAAATCTTGGGGAACAACTTGAAGGACTGGGAAAAGTCTGAGCAAATTCAAAAGATTAGCTGAAGACTAAACCCTAAAGGCTGTGATGTCCCTGAGATCGTGGATTAGAGGGTGGAAGTGTCACGGATCTCAGCCTTTGGTTCTCAGAGGAGATGATCATCAGCAGGTTTTGTGGTCGCATTTCACTGGTTTGTGTTCTCTCTTTTAAGGGAGGAAAAGACTGAGCAGCTGCTTGACTGTAAACAAGAACTTGAACAGATGGAAGCTGAACTGAAGAGACTTCAGCAAGAGGTATGTTTAAAAAAAAAAAAAAAGGACAAAAAAAAGTTGCCTCCACCAGAACAATTTCCGTTTTTTGGTATTAATAAATACATTTTCATTAATATTATGTGTTTTATTTTGCACTCTGAACATGATCTGGTGTAATTTATTCCTTTATTTGGTATATTATGCTGAAAAAAAATACTCTGAGATAGGTTAGTATTTCTTCTCTCATTTTTTTTTTTTTTTTTTTTTGTTTCCACAAAAACTGTGTCCGAGAGCGGATCCTCTGAGCTTGTATTCCCCAAATCAACACCCTCAAATTTGGTCTGGTTTCCCTTTATACTTCGAGTCTGTGTGTTGACAGTGAGGGAAAACATCTGTTTAGTTTATGATTAGCATGTGAGTGTCTAAAATTATCAGGAGCCCTTGAAACAGGCGCTTTCCTGGAAATCCATCCCCCGGATCGAGCGCCCAGAACACCACTTTTTCTTTCCCTTTGTCCAAATGAGCTGATGTTCCTCTGCCATCCCTGAATCTAACTGAGGAGCACCTCCTGCCTGCAATGCCTGTGTTTCCCTGCTCCCAGAACATGAACCTGCTGTCGGATGCCCGCTCCGCCAGGGTGTACCGGGACGAGCTGGACGCGCTCCGGGAGAAGGCGATCCGGGTGGACAAGCTGGAGAGCGAGGTCGGCCGCTACAAGGAGAGGCTCCACGACATCGAGTTCTACAAAGCCAGAGTGGAGGTACTGTCTAAGCCCCCAGACCCACGATGCCAAAATTGGCAGAAATGAGACTGCCCAGAGGCAGTTTTGAGTCTTTAAGCAACAAAGGTATTTATTGTGAGCAACGTTGGGGAACCAGCTCCCAAAGCAGCTCCCAAGTTCTCAGTGAAAAGCCAGGTAATTGATACGGTTTTTATGAGTGATTACAACATCTATACGTGCATATTCATTTAATTTCACAACCTAATTATCATATTTGTAATAGTCAGAGCTTGAGGCAGAGCTGTCCTTTTAGGGGGTCCTCTGGTGGTCTTTCCAGTCCTTCAGCCTCAAGAGGGTCCTCTTTGTCATCAACTTTTCCTGACTACGTACTGGGAGCTTGCAAAAACCCCCCTGATTCAGCTGTTTATCTCCCCACATGTGCATTCTATCTAATTCATGACTACTAAGTTGTCCTTTCTGTTCTCTTTTCATTAGTACAGAACAGAGCTCTGATACAGGGTGCCCCTTGTCCCTTAACATTAATGTTGCATTCCTCAGAGAGAGGGGCTGGAACATCCCCTCAGAACAGAATTCCAGCAGCTCAGAACTCTTGCTCGGTTTCACCCAACACAAAAAAACTCTGGCAAAGAGCTAAGGAAAAAAAAAACTATGAAAAATCCAAACTAACCAAACTATATGAAAATAAACATATTTATGTATGTTCAGAGTTATGTATGGTTGGAATATTATGTGGAATCCTCTGTGTAGGATATATTGAGAAACCCAAGGAGAGATTAATTTTAAAAATGCTGTAAATATAATCATTTCACTCTCCTGTTGTGGGTCTCCTAAGGGAAGACAGTTTTTTAAGTAAAGTCTTGAGGAAATGGTGGCTGTTGACATAAATGAGTCCAGCACAATGGTATTCCATGCATAAAACACCCTGAAAAAAGCTGTGCTGACACCTGGCAAGGGAGACTGACAGTTCTAGGAATTAATAATTTAGGAAACAAATCAACATGCAGGGTTTTAGTAGCCCACCATTCTGTCTGTAAATACCAAGTTCGTTGGGCAAATGCCATATGATAAGAAAATTGGGAGAGGAAAAGAGATTAATGTACAGGATTTGAAACCAGTGGGAATTTCATTTTCACAGAATGCTTGAACTAGTAAAAACCCTAAAATTTGTTGATGTGTTTCAAGCTTGTAAACTGTCTGATTTTTCAATAGAGGCAGATGTCAATCAGTTGGGTTTGCTTCATAATAATAATAATTACGAGTTAATATTTGTGTGGGGAGGAGTGTGATGGATAAATATTTATGTTTTACTCACTAATCTTTTTTCAGATCTTGCAGCTGACTGGGCTGAAGTTTGAAAAGTTTTGTCTTTGTATCATGACTAGAATTGCCAATCATCTATTTCTACACGTTATTGTCATCAGGCACCATTAAAAGAAATCCTCTCTGTGCAGAAATTAAAGGTGTTCAGGGCCTTTGGGAATGGCTGGTTGTATTTTAGGGATGTGGGTACATTTTCAGCATCATGGCCTGACTTTGGGCCCAGTGGCCTATAAACCTAATTATGGGCTGTACCTGCAACACATCTTCCCAAATCACAGCTCAAATCACAGAGGTATTTATGTTTGGTTATGATTATCAACATCTTCATTATTCTTAATGGTTTAGGGAGCATTTAATCTAATTTATGTGGAGTTTTGTTGTCATAGATGTGTTGTTTTCTAAGAAGTCTGTTACAGCTTCCAAATGAATCTTTCTGGCATTAGGTTTCTAACACTGGTGGTGAAGTTTGTGTGAACAAGGAAATACTTTTGATCTGAGATTTTTTGTTGTTGTTGCTTAATTCTTGCAGGAGTTAAAGGAAGACAATCAAGTGCTGCTGGAAACAAAGACAATGTTGGAAGATCAGTTGGAGGGGACTCGAGCCCGTTCAGACAAACTGCACGAGTTAGAGAAGGAGAATCTGCAATTAAAAGCTAAATTGCACGATATGGAGATGGTGAGTGTCAGGGCAGGGGGACAAGACACTTGATGCACACTGAATTTCGTGCCCATTTTTAATAAAAGAACCTCCAAAACAGTGGGGGAGAGAAGGAAGGGGCCTCTGGGTTTACTGACACATTAGTAAGAGCAATAGGATCAATTTTTTGGATGAGAAGACTGTTGTCACTTAAATCCTGTGTTTATCCTGGATACCCTCTTTCCTGATACTTGGAAAGAAGTGAATTTGGAAAAGGTGAAGAACCATTGCTGTAGGTTATGAGGAGAAGAGGTTCCTCTCTACTGGTTGTTCCTCTTCCCTCCAAAATTCTCCCTGCTTTTGCCATTTTTTCCCCCTCTCACTTGGGAGGGAGAAGATCCCATTAGCCAGCCATAAAATGCACTTTATACACTTCTCTGTAATGTACCAGAGAATAAAATCCTTGGCACACACTGAGATTTTTCTAACACTTGCAATGATTTTCCAGGAGCGTGACATGGACAGAAAGAAGATTGAGGAGCTCATGGAGGAGAATATGACCCTGGAGATGGCTCAGAAACAAAGCATGGATGAATCTTTGCATCTTGGCTGGGAACTGGAACAGATCAACAGGACTACTGAACTCTCTGAAGGTAAAAATGCCCAGTTAATGCTGCAAAGGGGTGAAATGGGAAAATTGCCATTTCAGAGGCTGCACAGCATTAGGAAATGAAAGATCTTTGTTTCTGAAGTACAGAGTTTGTTGTCCTCTGGAGAGGTGCTCATTCCCAGGTATCCTTGGAGACACAGCCTGCATGAGAAGTCTGTTCTTGTCACTCTTGTTCAGTTAAATAGAGGTGTAAACCCCACAGATACCTTGAAGTGACTTTATTTTGCCATTCAGAGCAGATCAGGACTATTCTGGCTTTGTTGTTCTCAGAGTTAAGAAGAAGTTGTTTGCAGGGATAGCTGTGGCAAAAATGTGGATTATCCCAGTATAACATGCTTGGTCATACACTGGATCCCTTGTGGAAATTTAGAGATACACCCTGAGCTGTGGGAAACAAGTCTCTGCTGGGATTAGGAACATTGGGAGAGCAGAACATTTTCTTTGATGCATCTGCTGGGTGATTAATCCAAGAAGGCCTTGGAGGGCCTTCAAAGGCTGCTAAATCCCCTAAGTCTGAAAATGCCGAGTCACGAGAACCCCAGGTTAAGAATCCTTTTTATTTTTATGTGTAATACTGGTGTTTTATTCCTGCAGTGCCCCAGAAATCACTGGGCCATGAGGTGAACGAGCTGACATCCAGCAGGTTGCTGAAGCTGGAGATGGAAAACCAAAGTTTGCTGAAGACAGTGGAAGAACTGCAGAGTGCCGTGGGTTCTGTGGAGGGCAGCAGTTCCAGGATCCTGAAAATGGAGAAGGAAAACCAAAGACTCAGCAAAAAGGTAATGGAGTTCTGTGTCAGCTGCCTAGTGTTGGGGGCTGTTTTCTTTCTAAAGGATGATTTTACCAGTTGCTGTTATTTTTTGAAAGTATGACAAGGTTCTAAGTGGTGTTATGGTAAAAGATAAAATCACCTCAGAGTGGTTTTTCTCTTTTGGGTTTTGCTTGTTTGTTCCTGTAAGAATGTGACCAGTTGATTCTTACACCACTGAGGGAAAAATATGAACATATTTGGGGTATAATGAGTAATGAGAGTGTTTGAGGGTACTTGGAAACATTAATTTTTGTAACTATTAAGCAGAAGAAAGTGCATGTGGAAAGTTGGGCATGTGTCCTCATTTTTAGGTGAGAAAGCAAGAAGGTGGGTCAAGGAATTGAGGAGCAGGTGAAGAGAGGAATTTGTCAGATTAATCCATGCTGATCTACAGTGTTTTACTGCTCAAATTATATCTATCAAAGAGACTAATTCAGTCAGTGATATTTATAGAAAATAAAAATTTGGGGAAAAACACCTGGCTAATTACAGTGGAGTGAAATGTCTAAAGTTCCTGAAATAGCTTTTCCTTCAGCAGCTGTTCCAAGTGAAAGACTATTCTTAGAGTGGATAAGAGATAATTAGAAAAAAAAGGGAGAATTGAAAGAAATCCCTCCTGTATTCCATAATTCTCTGAGTTTCTGTGCAGTGTCCCAGGGGTACAAAAGGAAGGAAGAGGGATGAGAAGCACACAGATGGGATTCAGGTCAACAAATTGCTTCATGGAGGAACAAATTCCAGCCTACTGCCTTTTTGTAAACCTGTTTCTCAGTATTTAGCTGCAATTATTGCCTAATTCAGGTGATTTGTTCCTAAACATTCCCCCTGTGTGGGGTCTGAGTTATGTGGACATTGAATATAGATCTTCCAGCAGGTGATTGTTTAAAAGTGCAACGTGTGTGTTGCTTCTAATTAACTTATTATGACTTAAGTATGACCAAAAAAAAAAAAATCATGCTTGGGTATTTTAAATTTTAAATAGCTTTGCTGTCTGGTGACACCGAGTTGGAACCGTTTGGCAAAACCAACCTAATATTGAATTCCCAGGGAATCATCATAATTATCTCTTGAAATAGTTAAGTAAGATCAAACAGCATTCAACCTTTTATAAGTTAACAGGGACTTGGAGGAACAGTATAAATCTCAGTAAAATGGAATTTTAAGAGGGAAAAAAAAAAGAGATGCTTAGGGAAATATCCAGAGCTTGAGAAAACCTGACCCTTTTTTTTTTTTTTATGCAAAAGTGCTTTATAGATACAGTCTGCTGAGCCAGGGAGAAAATTCTGGCAGAAGTAAATGTATTCCCAGAAGAAATTAGTTGTTTCAATTAAAGATGAGAAAAATCCATTTTATGTGTTCTCTTCTGTGTTTTATATGTTGATTCCTACGAGGGTGCCTTCAAGCTAAGAGTAATACAAGTGTCATTTTTTAAGTGCATTTTAAAAATAAATTTGTCTCTCTTTTCCCAGCTGGAAGAGCTGGAGAGCGAAATGAGCCAAGAGAAACAAAGTCTTCAGAACAGTCAAAATCTGAGCAAGGATTTGATGAAAGAGAAAGCACAGCTTGAAAAGACACTGGAAGCACTTAAAGAAAACTCCGAGCGACAAGTGAGTGTGGAATTCCGAGTTTTCCCTCTGCTTTGTGCTCTGCTGGTTCTCCTTTTGTGGGTTTTCCCAGGCAGGAGGGGACTGTAAATGCAGATTTGTGGGCTTTTCTGAGCTCTGCAGTGGGAGACAGGACTCATTTAACCAGGGCTTTGCTGCTTTAGAACTTTTGGGGGGGTTTAGAACCCTTCTGTGGCTTCTGTGGGCTGGGCATTTGCTCAGAAGGTGTAGCTCAGCCAAGATAGGAATTTGAGAAGTTTGGAGGGAAGGCAGACACCTCTCCATGGAGGAAAACAGGTCCCAGACAGCTGGGCAGCATTTGGAGCAGTGTCAGTGTTCATCACAATTCCAGCAGCCTGTCCCATGGGTGGGATCCACCACATCCAGCTCCATCCTTGCCCCCTCCACCGGAATGTTTCCCAGCTGGCACCCTCTGGGCTTATTTCTGGGAAAAGCAGAGGTGATCTCAGGGATGTGAGGGAATCCTGATGGCACTCAGCAACAGTTTGAGAGGAGACACATCAAGGTGACACTGATTTGTGAGTTAAAAAAAAAACCTGGACACGCTGCTCTGAAACAGGGAAAGGAAATCGGGAAGAATTATTTTCTTCCTAGGAAACATCTTCCTGGATCTACCTCAAGGATAAAGGCAGAACTTACATCTCACTTTTCACTTTAACTGGCATCTGGGTCCTTGTAAAGATGAGCCTGCACCTGGTGGGCACTGGCACCTCCTAAAGGTGTCTGCAGAGCAGTCCAGAGGACACGTGGAAAAAAGTCTTCTGGAAACTTCTGGGAATCCCATATTTAGTAATCGTGTCCTTCAGAATTACAACTGGAGTTATCTTTTATTTTTCATGTGTATCTTTTTATGTAGTTATGCCACTTACACCCCCTGATGACATTGCCATTTTTAAGTGCAATTTAAAAAGTGTACAGCATTCTGAAATACAGAATATTGTGTTTCAGAATGCTGAAGGTTTTTAAAGGCCTGATTTAATCAGTAAATGAAATACCAGACTTAGAAAAGAAAGAAGAAGAAAAAAAAAATTTGGCACTGAAGCTTTACTTTAATTTAAAGGTACATATGTTGTTTTAGACGTGTTGGGGTAGGACTGACATTTCAGTGGGACTGTTTCTGCTTCAAAATAATAAATATATTTTAAAATAACCTACTCGAGGGCTGGTGGCTCAGGAGCATCTTCCACACCTCTTACAAATCCTGGATGGGACTGGAGTGAGGTTCATTTGAGCTCATCAAAACCACAGAGCCATTCCTGATGATTTTGTGTTAAACTGGGAAGATGGGAGCAGAATCCATGGGAAGCAATTCCAGCTGTTCAGGGACACACCAGGTGCTCCTGAGCTGTGAGTTGGTTGCTGGTGGCTCCTTTCAGAGCAGTTTGGCATTGCCATGGGTGTGTAATTAATAGTTTTACATCCACACTCCACTAGGAGAGAACAGTCTATAATTTTCTTGCTCTGTTTTTCACTGCAAGCAGCACTTTTGCTTTTCTGCAGCACAGTTTATTGTTGAAACACCCCTTACACTGGGTTATTAGTGTACAGTTAAATATTGATCCAAACAGTTCTCTGCATTTTGCTGTCTGTTGTTACGTGTCCAAATCGCTCCAAATTATTTGGAGCAACCGAACAACTCGATAAATACTAAAAATTGAGATGTGAGTTCTGCCTTTATCCCTGAGGCAGATCTGGGAATATGTTTCCTCATTCAAATATGATTTACTTTCTCTGAAGCTGTTTTGGAACAGTGTGTCCAAGGGTTCTTTTCAAGTCAAAAATCAGTGTAGCTTTGTGTTTCTTCTCAAATTGTTGCTGGGCGTGATCAGGGTTCCCTCATATCCCACACCTCACCTCTGCTTTTCCCAAGTGAAATAAAGCTGCTTCTGTGGCTCCCACACCTCCCTCCATCTCAGGTTGGGTTTAGAACTTGACTCCTGTTCTTTGTGGACTAACATCCCTGATAATTACAGAGGTTAAGAGAAATAATCTAAATCTAATTCATCCACAAATGAAAATGCAGTTCTGCTGAGGCACAGATAAGGCTTGGGTTTGATTGGTGCTTTTTTTAAGTTTTGGGTTTGTTTTGTGTATTAATATTAAAGAAGAGGAGATTTGAAGATTCAGTTTGACTTACTTTGTTGTCAAACTTCCACCTGGGTACATATATAATGTTTATGATTCTTCAAAGAAATACCAGTGGAGTCAAAAAATTGTTTTTTAACTCAAAAGAGAAATGTGATGTAATCTTACTGTCTTAGCAGCTTTCAGTTTGTATATGAATTAATTCCTTGTTGGTGTGTTGTTCACCAGTCCACCATTTTTCTCCCCAAATTAGATTAAACTGTTAGAACAAGAAAATGAGCACTTGAATCAAACTGTGGCCTCTCTCAGGCAACGCTCACAGATCAGCGCCGAGGCAAGAATGAAGGAGATTGAAAAGGAAAACAAAATCCTTCACGAGTCCATTAAAGAGACCAGCAGTAAGTTAAACAAGATGGAGTTTGAGAAAAAACAAGTCAGGAAAGAACTGGAACACTACAAAGAGAAAGGGGAGAGGGCAGAGGAGCTGGAGAACGAGCTGCATCGGCTGGAGAAGGAGAACGAGCTGCTACAGAAAAAAATCACTAATCTGAAAATCACCTGTGAGAAGATCGAGGCCTTGGAACAGGAGAACTCCGACCTGGAGACCGAGAACAGAAAGCTGAAAAAAACCTTGGACAGCCTGAAAAACCTCACTTTCCAGCTGGAGTCCTTGGAAAAGGAGAACGCGCAGCTCGACGAGGAAAACTTGGAGCTGAGGAGGACAATTGAATCCTTGAAGTGTACAAGCATTAAAGTGGCACAGCTACAGTTGGAAAATAAAGAGCTGGAGAGTGAAAAGGAGCAGCTCAAAAAGAGCCTTGAGCTCATGAAAGCCTCTTTTAAGAAGACTGAACGCTTGGAGGTCAGCTACCAAGGGCTGGACACAGAAAACCAAAGGCTCCAGAAGGCCCTGGAAAACAGCAATAAGAAGATTCAGCAATTAGAAAGCGAGCTCCAGGATTTAGAGTCTGAGAATCAGACCCTGCAGAAGAACTTGGAGGAGTTAAAAATCTCTAGTAAGCGCCTGGAGCAGTTGGAGAAGGAGAACAAGTTGTTAGAGCAAGAGACTTCTCAACTGGAGAAGGATAAGAAACAGCTAGAAAAGGAAAATAAAAGGCTTAGACAACAGGCAGAGATTAAAGATAGTACTTTAGAGGAGGACAATGTCAAGATTAGTAACCTGGAAAGGGAGAATAAATCTCTGTTCAAGGAAATCGTGGTGTACAAAGAGTCCTGTCTGCGCCTGAAAGAGCTGGAGAAGGAAAATAAGGAACTGGTGAAAAGAGCAACCATTGATAAGAAAACCCTGGTCACCTTGAGAGAGGTAAAGAGATTGGTTATTACCCTTCCACCATAATCTGCTTGTCATGGGGAGAAATCAGAGCTGTGTTTCTGAAAAAAGGCTCTATTTTGTGGGTTTTTAGGCTTTAATCTGTGTGCTCTCACCATCTTTGTGCTTACAGCAGGGAAAGCATTGGATAATCACAATTTATCAAACGTTTTCCCTTCACTGTTGTGCTCAAGACCAAATTTAAAGGGAAATTCTACAGAAAGGAAGAGAGTACAGTGAAATCATAGTTGCAGTGTAGTGTCTGATCCAGCTGAGAGCTGACAACTGGAGGGAGGGGAGGGTTAACGTTGAATTATTCAAGTCATGTAGTGATCAAAGGCTCCTGTCTGAGCACTCCTAGAACTGAGACTACGTTATTTGATTTCTGTGGAAACACTGACTTGTGTTTTCTTCTCTGCAAGGACCTGGTGAATGAAAAACTGAAGACTCAACAAATGAACAACGATCTGGAGAAACTTGCCCACGAGCTGGAGAAAATAGGCCTGAACAAGGAGCGGCTCCTGGAGGACGAGCAGAGCAGCGATGACAGGTGAGGGTGGCAGGGCCCACCTGAGAGAGAGAGCAAAGGAGGGGCTTTTTGATTCAGGAAGGGAAAACGGGCTTGTGCATCTCTGGGATTTGTAGGGCACACTCACAGACCCAAAATGGAACTCTGAAATGAATAAAAGAGCTGATGTGCTGTTACATTCTGTGACAGTGAGTTGCCACTTTTTGTTGCTAAGAAACTCACTGAAGTATGTCAGTAGATCCAGTTAATTATAATTAAATGTTTCGTGTTCCAGCCAGCAGCAGGAACAGTGGCAGTAAGAGATAATCAACTCAAAGTGTATTTTTTTCCTTTTTGACACAAATGGTTTTTACATCTTGAACTGTCTCACTCTTTCCTTACAACTAATCCCTCCTACAAAAGGAAGCTGCATTCCCACTGGCCCTGGTGGAAGTATCCAGTCCTTGAGTGTCTCCAGAACTTGGTGCTGGCTCCATCCCTCCTCCACACCTGCCATTGGGAAGCAGCTGCTACCCCGACATCTGTTTCCTCTGCTGGGTTTCCCTCTTCTGTCTTACCCTCCAGGGATTTAGGGAAAACCTGTGGCAGGAGAAAAGCAGAGTATCATGGGCCTCTGGCCAAGCTTTATTGCCCAGTGCTGTTCAGTGGGGTGATCTGTTATTACAACTGATTGTCATGAACGTGTAGGTTGATTTGGGGTTTTCTGTGTCAAAAGAAACCCACATAACTGGATTAAAAACCCATATGGTTCCCTTTTTTACTGCCAGGGCTCTGTTACTGAGGTGGTGCCAGAGTCCTGGGGGTAAATCTGTTACCACCTCTTGTTTTCTCAGCTCCCAGATGAGCTCAGGAAAGGCCTCAGAACTTTTTCTAGTCCGGTCATTTTGATGATGGAAATGAAAAATGTACAATTTTTCTCTTCCTAATTGGAGAGAGTTGCTTGTGTTTTCAATGAATATTCTTGGTAACACTTCAGTCTTTCCAGTGGGCTCTAAACTGGCCACGTTTTATGAGTTAACTTGGAAGTGTTTCCCATTTTCCCTTGTCTTTCCAATGTCTGTTGTCCTTGGACAAACACATTCCTGGACTTTGAATCTGAATACCCAGGTCTCAATGACATCAGAAAATTTGTGCCATCTTTCATTGTTAGGTGTTCAGAAGGAAACTGGATATTGGATCTCTGCTATTTGTCTTTTTTACGTAATTTTGTGACTTTTCAGTTACAGAAATTCTTATTTCCAACCAAATCTGTGCTTCAGCTCAAGGAGGTGAAATATTTTATATTCCACTGGTCATAGGCTGCCTACTGTTCCTGAAATCCCTGGGAATTACTTGTCATATCTTCAAATGTAGGATTCCCATCCTTCTACTTGATGCCACTGGACAGCTTTCTGCTTATTAATTCTCTTCCCATTGGTCTTCTGCTCCAGTTCCTGGCTGGATCTAATGCTCTTGTCCATTCAGGAGCCTCCTGCAGTCTGTGCCCTTCACTGAACTGATAGATCCTTCAGCAGCCAGCATTAAAAAGGGGGATATTAGTGGTTTGTTCTCTCCAGCTGTGGGGAGCAGTGGGATATTTTCCAGGTTCTGAGCCTTGTGCACGGTGACTGAACTGCTTCAAGTGATTAATGAGTGTGGTTTTCAGTATTTTCTATAGAGGGGACACAGTTACAAATTGATACAGCCTAAATCTGACCACTTCTGTCCCAGATAGGCACTTTGGGGTTTTTGGGTGCCCTACAATATTGTAAATATGGTGATAAATGGAAGCTTTACCCCTCAGGGGTGCTGACAGTCTTAAAATCCCAGCAGCTGGGCTGAGGGCACAATTTGCACAGTCAGGCACCAAAAGAGTGTGCACCTGCACAGTCCTTCCCTCTGTGAGCTGGCAGGGAATGGGAACTGAGGGAAATCCTGCTCTGCAAATCCTTCCCATCCTAATTGGGTTGGGGTCCCCGCTGGATCCTCTGGAGCAGAGCCAGGAGGGAGGAGTGCAGTCACCACACCCAGGGTAATGATCCAGATAAACAGCCCCCTCCTTTTTGTGTGCCTAAAACACATCTGAAAGAAAGGAGGGGTCAAAAATGGGCTTTCCTACCATCTTCTGTCGGCTTCAGGCACGGGACTCGCTGGGAATACCGAGGTGTCTCCATGCTCTTCACTTCCCAGCATTTTTGAGGGTGGCCACGAGGCTTCGTTCCAGGGTTCAAATGCCTCAAAGAGGTTTGGAAAACACGGACTTTTTTTTTGTTCTTGACCAGTAGGTACAAGCTCCTGGAGTCCAAACTGGAATCCACGCTCAAGAAGTCTCTGGAAATCAAAGAAGAGAAAATTGCTGCTTTGGAGGCTCGTTTGGAAGAGTCCACAAATCTCAACCAGCAGCTGCGTCAGGAGCTGAAAACAGTAAGGAAAAGGGCATTTTTCTGTGAGATTAAATGGTTCCTGTGTGATCTGTTGTTATTTCTGGTTTTGGGTAAGGCTGCAGAAAAGCTGGGTGTTGTTTAGGTGATGGAAAGCAGGACAAAGGTGTGGCTGCTTTCAAAACTGTGTTGGAATCGCATGAAAAGCTGTAGAGTTTATTCATTGTTCATTGAAAATGTCAGGTGGATAAATTATCTGGGACTGATTTGATTTGGGATGTCATTTCCAGTTATATTTCCCCACCTGCCTGCAAGAGCCTGAGCAGAGTGGTTAAAAAAAGAAATGCAGTCGCCTTGGCTGTAGGATTTTATTATAAAACTGGGGGGGTACAGTTGAAAACACTGAAATAAAATAGGAAATAGAGGTCTCCTGCTGTTAGGAAATGTTTGTTAGGGTGAAGTTATCCATACCCCTAAGTAATTTGTGCAGCATCTCCTCAGACATGTACAAAAAGCAAATTTACAGTCACGGTAACATAGAACTCCCTATTCTTTGAGAAGTGGCACGGCCAGGTAATAAATTAGGATGTCTAAAATGGGAAATTCTAAACCTAATCTGAGTTGTCTTAAATAATTCCAGGTGAAAAAGAACTACGAAGCTCTCAAGCAAAGACAAGAAGAGGAGAGGATGGTTCAGAATTCCCCGCCGAGAAGCGGAGAAGAAAATCAGTCCGTCAACAAGTGGGAGAAGGAAAATCAGGAAACGACCAGAGAATTGCTGAAAGTTAAAGATAGACTAATTGAAGTGGAGAGGAATGTAAGATGTGATTTAAATATGACTGTGGTTGTTTGTTGTTGGCTGTTGCAGTCCTACAAATGAGTGTTGGTGAAGTCTGTCGTTTGTCATCTGGTTCACATCCCAAGAGGAATCTGAGTTAAATAGTTTATGGAGCAGCTGGATTCTGCTCTGAGGGATGCCTTAAAACACTTGACAGGCATTTCAAAGGAAATATGAAAACCTGAATTTGCCCTTTTGGATGCAGAGCTCTCTCTTAAATCCCTCTGATCTAACCCTTATTCTCCTGGGGCCTGGAGGTGTCTCTGCTGTCCCTCCAGAAGTCCAACACTCATTACCTGGTTTTCCATCATAACCCTGTGTGTTCCTTGGTCCTGGAGGGTGATCCCCAGTGTTGTTGCACCCCGTGAATCCCTTGGAGAAGCAGCTGTGAGCTCACCCTCTGTGTTTGTTTTCCCCCCGTGCCCAGAACGCGACGCTGCAGGCGGAGAAGCAGGCGCTGAAGACGCAGCTGAAGCAGCTCGAGACTCAGAACAACAACCTGCAGGCCCAGATCCTGGCCCTGCAGAGACAGAGCGTGTCCCTGCAGGAGCAGAACACCACCCTGCAGACCCAGAATGCCAAGCTCCAGGTGAGGGTTTCCCCTTTGGCTCCCAAAAATAAAATTACGGCTGTTTTTCCAAACAAAATCAATGTGGTCTAAGTCACATTTTGCTTCTGGTGCCGACCTGGGAGAGAAGGTAATGTGGAAATAATCTGCACTCAGAGAGGACAAATAATAGTCTGTCTGCTGATGAGTAAGTCCAGTCCTGGAAGTTGGTTTTAATCCTTCACGTTTGTCCAATTTAAACTCTTGACTTTATACTCTTTAAACTCTCAATTTTATATACTTATGGGTAGGGTAGGTTCTCTTATCCTTCTCTTAAGCCTTTTAAGATTGCTTGAGTTTTTTTTATTTTAGTTATACATCTAAATTAGGTCAGGGAAGTGGTGTGTCCAGAGAGATTGTAATAAATTTTGTCTATTTTTATAAGTAGCTTAAAAAAAAAAAAAAAGGCAGAGCCATACCTAAAAGGAAAATCAAGATGCTTACTAAAGTATAGAATATATATTAAAAAAATATAGAATACTAAAAAAAAAACCCCAAAGAAACCCCAACCTAAGTATGTAAAGAGTGAATGTAGATAATTCAGAGGCAAAAGAAAGGTGAGGTTTGACCATGGAAATGATTAAAATGGTTCACCTGGAATCTTGCAGCTCTCATGGCCAAGATTCAGATGTTGTCCTTCCTGCTTCAGTAGGGTTATTAAATAGATATCTCTTTTTTGTCTTTAAAATGAAATGTTCTTGCTAATGGATCGAATGCTTTTTGGAGTTCTAAGAATCCAAATTCCTTAAAGAGGGAGCAAAAAGTTCACAATCCAGCAGAAGCAGTGTCAGAAAGGATGGAGGGTTGGTGGAAATCCAAGTGTCAGGGACTTTTTAAACGAGGCAAATACGCATTTGGTGAAGGCCTGGAGTTCTCATCCTGACTTTCTGGGAAGCAGGACACAGTTGTCCCAGGGTTGCACTTTGTGCTGCCACATTGAAATCTCGTTAGTGCACAGCACTCCAAGGAAACAGGACTTCTGGGCCTTCTCTGGCTGTTCAAAAGCAGTGGGCAGGGGCATGGAAATATCCCCTTTTAACCACAGGAGGATTTATCTCTGGGATTCAGAACTCTGAGTATTTTGTAACCCCATTTGTCAGAAAAACCCAGGAATATCTGTGTAGTTCTGTTTTTGCCTCATGCACAATGGCACAGGCCTTTCCTCTCTGGCAAGACAGCTCTCTGTCAACTCCAGATTAAACTGAAAGGTGAAGTTAGTTCCTGAAAATCAGAACTCTCAGCTCCATCTGAAGTGAAATCTCTGTCAGAACTGCTCCTGGCAGCTAATTCTTCTCTCCCTGCTGGTACCCATGAGGAGCAGACAAGAGAGGAGATGTTTTAGGGGGTAACTGGGAACTGGGAGCTGACAAAACTCGGGATTCAGCCTGGGCCGTGCCATGAGACATGACTTCATTTCCAGGGAAAGGTTCAGCTTTCTCCTGTGTAACAAAGAGCAGTGCAGTTCCAACAGGAAGGGATTTGTTCCCTGGTAACAGCAGGCACTGCAGTGGGAGATGGAATTTTTTTCCCCTTAATAGATAGCCCGAGGGTTTTAGAAGCCTCAGGAGTTTGTGGTTTTCATCTCTTGAATAGGAAAGAGAAGGGAATGAGCCTGATACGGGTCAGGTGACAAGATATCCAAGGATTAGATTTGGTTAATCTTTCCAGAGGCACAAAAAGTGAAGTTGTGGGTTGGTTGGGTTTTTTTAAAATTTGTCTAATGTTGAAGGCTTTAGTGTGTTAATAGACATTAATAATGCTCTGACATAATTCTGAACTAGCTCCACAAAAGAATACAAAACAGAATGTGGGGAGTTCCTTCCAGCTGCTGTTATTTTATTTCCCTTTCTCTCTGTTAAATGGATGCTCCTGTTTGAACTCTCATTGTAAAAGGGTACGTGGGCACCATAAAGATTTTATGGTGACAATACAGATTCTGTACAATAGAGGTGTTCTTAAAAATAGATCTCTGTGCCAGCATGAAAGTTCTTTTTATTTTAGTCATGTCACAGATTTGGCTTATAATAGGATCACTGAGGAGCCATTTCTCCCAGATGTTTTGATGCCAGAGGAAAATGTTGTTCTTGTCTAGATAGCACTTTAACAGGTATTGAAAGGTAAATAAGAATTTGATTATTTAATCAAATTAACCAGTGCTTAATTGATTAATCAAATCAATTTAATCATATGGTTCAGTGCTTTCCTGCGATACTGCCATAAAAATATTCCTGGAATACTTTGAATTGGAGCTGTCTGTTGGGGTGTAAGAAAAGAG